CGACTTTGGCCGAATTAGGTCCACCTTGGCCGAAGTTAGCTGAAATTTAACTATTCCTTCCAACAAGTAAGCTAGAACTCGAGCATGCGCAAAACCAAGTGGGCCAGAAACCCCACTATATAACAACGAAACTAGCGAATAGTGAAACGAAAATTAAATACGAACTGACAATGGAAAGATTGAAAGAAGCTTTAAACAAACAAAAAAGGGAAAACCAGTGTAAAAATGTTAACACAAGAAAGAATTTTGATGTTAAAGAAAATAAAAAGCCAAAAATAAATGAGTTGAAAATTAATAAACCGGAAGAAGCGTTATAAAGAATTTTTTAGGGTGAAAAAGCTAAAACAGCAGGAAAAGTCGTGATCGAAGATACTCGGCTTTGTCCGAAGTGAGTTGACCGTGGCCGAAATGAGTCGACCTTGGCCGAAGTTAGCTGAAATTCAACGTTTTCTCCCCAATAGAAGGCTAAAAGCCGAGCATGTGCAGGATCAAGTGGGCCAGAACCTGCTTCTGCGCACGAATTCAAATATTCCCGCCGGAAAGTGGAGCAGCAGCCCCACTATATAACTACTAACGACAAAAAAATGTTGAGATCCAATTAAGAAAATGTGCGCAAAATCAGATAAGTGGACAGAAAAACAACCCGTAACAAAGAATTAAAGTTTGACAAAGTGAACCTCAAAAGAAGCAAACGAAAATAAACCTTATAGATACGTGTGTGGAGACGACAATACGACTAGAAAAGAAAAGAGAAAACAAATAAAATTGGAACAAAGTGAGTCGACCGTGGCCGAAATTCAAAAATTCAAATTTTTGCGCCAAAAAGTAGACCAAAAGCCCTATTATATATCGACTTACGACAAAAAAATTTCAGATTCAGTGAAGAGAAATTTGTGCACAATCAGAGAAGTAAAAAAAACAAAAAATCGTCGGTACTAAAATAGATTTTCGTTGATTTGTCAGTTCCCCAATATATCCTATGTTCGTTCTCGGTTGCCTAGTATATTCTATAAATATAGGATAGCCTATACACTAAGGGACCGAGAACGAACATAGGGTATACTAGGGAACCGAAAAATCAACGAAAATGTATTTTGGCCGACTCGTGAATGTGTTTCGTTCTCGGTACCTTAGTAGGTTCTATAAAGTTAGAGTATACCAGGAAACAACGAAATTTGAAAAATTGGTTTTTTGATCCCCTAGTATATTCTATGGTCGAGTATCCGAATTTGTGGTACTCTAGTATAGGTATATCCTATGTTCAAAAGCCATACTAGGGTTCCACAAAAACGGATTATCGAATATCGATTATACCAGGGGACCAAAAATTCAAATTTTCATAGTATATCATATGAATATTAATTAGATACTCCATATTTAATGGGACTGAAATGAAACATAGGATATACTAGGAGATCACAAAATTTGCAAAATCGGACTTCTGGTCCCGTAATATGATCGATGGTCGAGGTTCCGATTTTGTGGTCCCTTAGTATATCCTATGTTCAATTTCGATTCCCTAGTATATCTTATGAACATGAATATTTTATATACTACGGGACTAATACCAAACACAGGATATATTCGGGACTACAAAATTGGAGAAATCATATTTTTGATCCCCTTGTATTTCCTACGTCGGATGATCCAATGTTGTGGTCCCCTAGTATGTATATTCCATTTTCGATTTCGGCTCCTTAGTATATGGTATGTCCTATCTTCATAGGATATACTAAGGGATTACAAAATCGGATCATCGCATAAATGGTATACTGGGTGTATGGTCCCCTAGAATGTGTATTCCATTTTCGATTTCAGTTCCTTTCTATATAGTATGTCCTATCTTCATAGCATATACTAGGGGACCACAAAATCGGATCATTGTACAAATGGTATACTACAACTAGAGTACTAAAATAGATTTTCGTTCTCGGTACCTTAGTGGGTCGTAGAAATTTAGAATATACCAGGAAACAACGAAATTTGAAAAATCGGATTTTTGGTCCCCTAGTATATTCTATCGTCGAGTATCCGATCTTGTGGTACCCCCATATAGGTACATCCTATGTTCAAAAGTCATACTAGGGTTCCACAAAAACGGATTATCGAATATCGATTATACTAGGGGACCAAAAGTTAAAATTTTCAAATTTTGTGGTCCCCTAATACAGCCTACGCTCGTGTTGAGTCCCATAGTATATCCTATGAATATTAATTAGATACTCCATACGTAATGGGACTGAAATGAAACATAGGATATACTAGGTGATCACAAAATTTGCGAAATCGGACTTCTGGTCCCGTAATATGACCGATGGTCGAGGTTCCGATTTTGTGGTCCCCTAGTATATCCTATGTTCAATTTCGGTTCCCTAGTATATCTTGTGAACATGGATATATCATATATTACGGGACTGATATCAAACATAGGGTATATTCGGGGACTACAAAATTGGAAAAATCATATTTTTGATCCCCTTGTATTTCCTACATCGGATGATCGCATTTTCGATTTCGGTTTCTTAGTATATGGTATGTCCTATCTTGATAGGATGTACTAGGGGACCACAAAATAGGATCATTGTACAAATGGTATACTAGGGTACTAAAATATATTTTCGTTCCCGGTACCTTAGTGGGTCGTATAAATGTAGAGTATACTAGGAAACCACGAAATTTGAAAAATCGGATTTTTGGTCGCGTGGTATCCGAATTTGTGGTATCCTAGTGTAGGTATATCTAGTATATCCTATGAATATTAGATATTCCATATTTAATGGGACCGAAATGAAACATAGGATGTACTAGGAGACCACAAAATTTGAGAAATTGGATTTCTGGTCCCGTAATATAATGGATAGTTGAGGATCCGATTTTGTGGTCCCCTAGTATATCGTATGTTCAATTCGGTTCCCTAGTACATCTTATGAACATGGGACATATCATATATTACGGAACTGATACCGAACACAGAATATATTAGGGGACTATAAAATTGGAAAAATCGTAGTTTTGATTCCCTTGTATTTCCTATGTTGGATCATCCAATTTTGTGGTCCCCTAGTATGTATATTCCATTTTCGATTTCGGCTCCTTAGTATATGGTATGTCCTATCTTCATAAGAAGTACAAGGGGACCACAAAATAGGATCATTGTACAAATGGTATACTAGGGTACCAAAATAGATTTTCGTTCTCGGTACATTAGTGGGTCCTATAAATGTAAAATATACTAGGAAACCACGAAATTTGAAAAATCGGATTTTTGGTCGCGTAGTATCCGAATTTGTGGTATCCTAGTGTACGTATATTTAGTATATCCTATGAATATTAGATGTTCCATATTTAATGGGACCGAAATGAAACATTGGAAGTAGTAGGAGATCACAAAATTTCAGAAATCGGACTTCTGGTCCCATAATATGATGGAGAGTTGAGGAGCAGATTTCGTGGTCCCCTAGTATATCCTATGTTCAATTTCGGTCCCCTAGTACATCTTATGAACATGGGACATATCATATATTACGGGACTGATACCGAACACATAATATATTAGGGGACTATAAAATTGGAAAAATCGTATTTTTGGTCGCGTAGTATCCGAATTTGTAGTATCCTAGTGTACGTATGTCTAGTATATCCTATGAATATTAGATATTCCATATTTAATGGGACCGAAATGAAACATAGGAAATAGTAGGAGACCACAAAATTTCAGAAATCGGACTTCTGGTCTCATAATATGATGGATAGTTGAGGATCCGATTTCGTGGTCCCTTAGTATATCCTATGTTCAATTTCGGTCTTATGAAGATGGGACATATCATATATTACGGGACTATAACAAACACAGAATATATTAGGGGACTATAAAATTTGGAAAAATCGTAGTTTTGATTCCTTTTATCTCCTATGTTATCCAATTTTGTGGTCCCTAGTATGTATATTCCATATTCGATTTCGACCCCTTAGTATATGGAATGTCCTATCTTCATAGGAGATACTAGGGGACCACAAAATCGGGTCATCATACATACACATACTAGGGTACTAAAATATGTTTTGTTCTTTAATTTAATACTTAAGAGTTGGAACAAGCTTAAAAATATTTTCTCCGGTGGGTAAAAAAATATCACATGAATTTTTATCTTAGATCGAAGTTAATGCCATATGACATGATTCAAAATATTTCTGATCAAGGGAGGCAGTGTACTGAAAAAAAAGAAGATCAGCTGACTTGTCTTAAAGACAGCCTTCTCTTATTTGAAATTTTCTGAAGCTTGATGTGTAACTCCAAAACGTAAATTGACACCCACTCAAATAATGTTTTTGTAAACTCTAGTCCATCACCAATGCTTAATTTTCTCATTAGTATAATTTTATAATTATTATACTAGGAACGACAAAAAGACAAAGTTTTAAATACCTTGGTGTCCAACTTGTAAAATCGGCAATTTTTTCAGAACTTACTCCATCTGATTAATTTAATTTGAAAAACCGAACAGTTAATCCGAATGCAGATCGTAAATCACACTAGAGTGATTCAAATGGCCCATGTCTTAAACAAATCATTTTAAGAATAGTTAAGATCGAATGTCCTAAATATAGCGGTGAAGTCATGTATATTTCATGAAAATTAATATTTAATATACCACTACGGTTCTCATAACCTTGTCAAATATAAACTTACCCACATATAACACCGAAAAGTATAAGTATTTTAATAACGATTTCCTCGTTCTATAATACGTGGTTCTAAATTTTTAGACCACCACGGTACGACCTAAATAAAAGTTCTTGCGATTAGGGGTAAAAAAGCGAAATAAATCCATGCGAATATCCGTTCGCTGTACCATAAATGGCAAGTTCCATTTTCCGTAAAATTTCGCAACCGCCTCCCCCCCAGCGCCGCCACTGCCCGTCCTCCGATCCGCCGAATGCGGTACCGTAATTCTCGCGGTGGTACGACACGGGTGTTTTTGCTTTGTCTGTAGTAGCGCTCCGCGCTGACAAACCAACAACCGATAGTCCATTGTTTTTGTTTACACCTCTCCAAAGATTGGCAGTACCGATTAATCTCAGGTTATTGGCCTTGTCCGAATTATCCATCCCAGATAAGTGCGTTTATCAGGCGATCGCGGCGGCGGCACTCTCGGTCCTCCGGTGAAATGGTCCATCGGCCTTCCGCTCTTCACACTTCTCTAGTTCTTCGCTTCTTCCGAGCCAAAAAGTCCCCTCTCTCGTGATCTCGTTCACCGTTACCATATTCGACTCCTTCAGACCGAACTATGAGGTGCTGTTGTGCGTGAGGGATGGACGCGATCATATTCCGAACCAAGACCTTCATCAAGGAGCACCAGAAGGTGAAGAAGAAGAAGCGGGATGAGGAGAAGAGCAGCCACAGGTGGAGGAACAGTGAGTGCTATTTAGGCTTAATGGGTCAGCGGGTTCGGTGCTTGACCTCGGTGGCTTTTCTAAAATCGCATCTTTCACTCGTAGTACTCCTCGCCTACTTTCTACGGATTTTTTCCGGAGCCGGCCTGGAACCTGATATCTAGCGGGATTTATGGCGATCGGGGTTACTTCCGTGTAGTACTACACGGTACTGCTTTGCATATGTTTATCGGGTCGAAAGTCGGGCGGAAAATCGCGGTACTTCAAAGAGCCGCAACCGGCCCGAAAAACGCTCACCTAATTCAATTACGTACCTCGACGGTTCACTGCTTTCGGTGGTTTCGTGCCGGCAATCGCTAATTTATTGCCGTTTTCGGTGTTGCAACCAAAAATCGGTTGCAGCAACCGGACTTTTTCGGTCGACAATAAACGGTCGGTTTATTCGTCACGATAAAGGAAACCTACAACTACTAGTATCAGTGTGGGAGGATTTATCTGCGTTTTGAATACTTGTTTCACTGTTAATAGCATCACATTCGCGCTGATTTTATCGACTTATTATTAAATTTACGATTCAGATAAAAATAAATAATGGCACGTAATTCGCTTTTCTAATTCGATTGTTGTTTCCTTTGCACATAAAGTTCGCATTTCGTTAACAAAATGTTGACAGAATCGCTTTAAAGTGGAGTTCCTGTTTGAGAAAATTGCGGATTTTCACAGGAAGTCCGAGCGAAACTGCTCATGTGTGTCCGTGTACCTAGGTATGCGTTTCTGGTTTGCGTGCGATTTTTGACTGATTACAGCACTCTCGGTCGGAGAAGTCGGTTTCGAAGTGCACGCCGCTTGAAAACATTTTTTCGCGTTATCGTAATTAAAGGTGTAGCGCATTAATTCCTTTATTAAAATATCACTGCTTATCTCAGGCGGAAATCCATGACTGACAGTTCTATGAATTCGATTGTGCTTTGTTTCATTCACTCACGTTCAATATTATCTTGTTGCATGAGTAACAGATTTTTTGCGGTGGTAGCGTATCTTAAATCATGCACGATTTGCCGTTGACTTTTCCATTCAAAACCGCGAAATGTGAATTTAAAACATTCTTAATTTTTATGTTTATATATTTTTTCTTCCTAGAACGAGAAATAAGAAATATCTTTCTATGTTTGGCTACTTTTATGTGTGCCGAATAAAAAACGTTCCTTCAATGTTGTAAAATAACATGCTACTGCATGTGCGATTTATGAATCCGTGTTGAAATTGTAAAAACCGAATGCTGTGAAATTTTGCAAATATTTTAAGTTTATTTTTGCAAGCATGGCAAATCGTTAATCAAAATTTGTCCGTCATCTTACAATTTTGTGGAATAACTATTCTTCAAATTTATGAGTGCTTGTGAAAAAAAAACTCTGCTGTTAACCGCTGATTTTTGTATTCTGAACATTAGTACGTTCAGATTATAGCTAAGCATCAGTCGGAACTTTTTTAAAGTATAAACATACAGTCGATGTTAGGAATGTATTGAGAAACTGAAAATATCTACATTTTTTCCATTGGTTACGTGCTTTAAATATACATATTTCATACTGTGCACACTCTTGCCGACCAGGGGGTGTTAATACACCACAATTTTGTACTTTATAGAGGTTATCACAAAACGAAAATCGCAAAATTTTTTTCATAATGTGAAAACTTTTCGGCTTCAACTTTTTTTTTAGAATGTGAAACCTTCTCGGGGGTCCCAATTGTCTTCTCTTTAAAAAAGGGGAAACCTTCTCGGAGGTCCCAATTGTATTTTTTCAAAGGGGGTGAAACCTTCTCAAGGGCTCCAACTGTCTTTTTTTGGACAAGATGAAACCTTATCGGGCGCCGCAACTGATTTTTTAGGGAATGTGAAAATCATCTCGGGGCCCTAACTGTCTTTTATTTTAAGAAGATGAAACCTTCTCAGGGATCCCAATTGTCTTTTTTTTAAAGCAGGCGAAACCTTCTCGAGGGCCTGAATTGTTTTTTTTTAAGAATGTGAAACCTTCTCGAGGGGTCCCAATTGTCTTCTCTTTAAAGAAGGGAAAACCTTCTCGGAGGTCCCAATTGTATTTTTTTAAAAGAGGTGAAACCTTCTCAAGGGCCCCAACTGTCTTTTTTTGGGCAAGATGAAATCTTCTCGGGCGCCCCAACTGGTTTTTTAGAGAATGTGAAAACCTTCTCGGGGGCCCTAACTGTCTTTTATTTTAAAAAGATGAAACCTTCTCGGGGGTCCCAATTGTCTTTTTTTAAAGGAGGTGAAACCTTCTCGGGGGTCCAAATTGAATTTTTTTAGAGGAGGTGAAACCTTCTCAAGGGCCCCAACTGTCTTTTTTTTGGACAAGATGAAACCTTCTCGAGCGCCGCAACTGGTTTTTTAGAGAATGTGAAAACCTTCTCGGGGGTCCCAATTGTCTTTTTTTTTAAAGGAGGCGAAACCTTCTCAAGGGCTCCACTTGTCTTTTTTTTTGGACAAGATGAAACCTTCTCGGGCGCCGCAACTGATTTTTTAGAGACTGTGAAAACCTTCTCGGGGGCCCTAACTGTTCTTTATTTTAAGAAGATGAAACTTTCTCAGGGATCCCAATTGTCTTTTTTTTAAAGGAGGTGAAACCTTCTCGGGGGTCCCAATTCTCTTCTCTTTAAAGAAGGGGAAACCTTCTCGGAGGACTCAATTGTATTTTTTCAAAGGGGGTGAAACCTTCTCAAGGGCTCCAACTGTCTTTTTTGGACAAGATGAAACCTTCTCGGGCACCGCAACTAGTTTTTTAGAGAATATGAAAACCTTCTCGGGTATCTTAACTGTCTTTTATTTTAAGAAGATGAAACCTTCTCGGGGGTCCCAATTGTCTTTTTTTAAAGGAGGTGAAACCTTCTCAAGGGCTCCAACTATCTTTTTTTGGACAAGATGAAACCTTCTCTGCACCGCAACTGATTTTTTAGAGAATGTGAAAACCTTCTCGGGGGCCCTAACTGTCTTTTATTTTAAGAAAATGAAACCTTCTCAGGGATCCCAATTTTCTTTTTTTTTTTAAGGAGGCGAAACCTTCTCAGAGGTCCCAATTGTCTTCTCTTTAAAGAAGGGGAAATCTTCTCGGAGGTCCCAATTGTATTTTTTTAAAGGAGGGGAAACCTTCTCAAGGGCTCCAACTGTCTTTTTTTGGGCAAGATGAAACCTTTTCGGGCGGCGCAACTAATTTTTTAGAGAATGTGAAAACTTCTCGGGGGCCCTAACTGTCTTTTATTTTAAGAAGATGAAACATTCTCGTAAGCCCGAATTGTTTTTTTTAAGAATGTGAAACCTTCTAGGGGTCCCAATTGTCTTCTCTTTAAAAAAGGGGAAACCTTCTCGGAGGTCTCAATTGTATTTTTTTTAGAAGAGGTGAAACCTTCTCAAGGGTTCCAACTGTCCTTTTTTGGACAAGATGAAACCTTCTTGGGCGCCGCAACTGCTTTTTTAGAGAATGTGAAAACCTTCTCGGGGGCCCTAACTGTCTTTTATTTTAAGAAGATGAAATCTTTTCGGGGGTCCCAACTGTCTTTTTTTAAAAGTGGTGAAACCTTGTGAGGGGTCCCAATTGTATTTTTTTAGAAGAGGTGAAACTTTCTCAAGGGCCGTAACTGTCTTTTTCTGGACAAGATGAAACCTTCTCGGGCGCCGCAACTGGTTTTTTAGAGAATGTGAAAACCTTCTAGGGGGCCCTAACTGTCTTTTATTTTAAGAAGATGAAACCTTCTCGGGGGTCCCAAATGTCTTTTTTTTAAGAAGGTGAAACCTTCTCGGGGTCCCAATTGTATTGTTTTAAAGGAGGTGAAACCTTCTCAAGGGCCCCAACTGTCATTTTTTGGACAAGATGAAACCTTCTCAGGGGTCCCAATTGTATTTTTATAGAGGTGAAACCTTCTCAAGGGCCCCAACTGTCTTTTTTTGGACGAGATGTGAGCTTCTCGGGCGCCGCAACTGCTTTTTTAGAGAATATGAAAACCTTCCCGGGGGCCCTAACAGTCTTTTATTTTAAGAAGATGAAACCTTCTCGGGGGTCCCAACTGTCTTTTTTTTTAAGAAGGTGAAACCTTCTCGGGGTCCCAATTGTATTTTTTTTAAGGAGGTGAAACCTTCTCAAGGGCCCCAACTGTTATTTTTTGGACAAGATGAAACCTTCTCGGGAGTCCCAATTGTATTTTTTTAAAGGAGGTAAAACCTTCTCAAAGGCTCCAACTGTTTTTTTTTTGGAGAAGATGAAACTTTCTCGGACGCCGCAACTGTTTTTTTAGCGAATGTGAAAACCTTCTCGGGGGCCCCAACTGTCTTTTTTTTATAAAAGTGAAACCTTCTCGGTGCCCCAACTGCCTTTTTTTAAGAAGGTGAAACCTTCTTTCTTTCTCTTACACTGTGACTTCCTGTATTTCTCCATAGAGGTTATCACAAAAAAAAATAAATATCTCAAAATCAAATTTTATCATTTTTCAAAGAAGCAGGACTGTACTTCAGGGGCGAGGGACGTTCTGTGGAAATAACTTTGGACCATTGTTTTTTTATTTTGGATTAACTTGATGTAATTTCAAGACAAAATGGCTCCGTTATGTGAATTTTTTGGTCATTTCTGGTCTGAAAATTAGAAAAAGCAACCAAAGAACTTTGACAGTTTTAACTTGGATGAAAAAACTGTCTATGTTTTGAATTTCTACGAACCGTTAGACAAAAAAAAAACAACAAATGAAACTGCATCGAGAATCCTCATAAAATATGTAATTTCACAAAAAAGTTGTAAAAATAATAAACTTTATAGTGCAATAAACCTGGGAGATAATGAAGACGAACATGGTTCACTGGCGGCAAAAAACACCGTTGTAGGGACAATAAACATAATTAAACTTTAGAATGCCTTACTTTTCTTCTAAGCAGAACTCATATAAATTTTATTCGTGGTTTTTACTATGATAAAAAATATCACGTTTGGAGAAAAACATTATTCCGATCTGTCGAATTTTCA